TCGATGATCTTGAGCGATCTTTGGCACAACCTGCTCCAGATCACCCTTCTGCTACCATACAAGAAGAGGAGGACGACGAAGAAGGCTACAAGGACATTGTGGAGCACACTAAAGTTGTCACGGAGAGCTCCCGTGATGATCATGATCCGGAGTGTCCTGTCGTAGCCGACCACACCTTCCCACATCCCAAACTGAGCTTTGAAGAGGCGGGCATGAGTGTGGAGATGCAAGAAGATCTCATGAAAGAAATTGCTTGGCAACTTGCTCTCCAATCCGTGCTAGAAGAAGAAGAGCAAGAAAGGGAGCAGAAAGAAGTTGTGGAGGATGACGAAAGTGAAGCAGGAGGAGTTCTTGATCATGTCCCAGGGGTGATACCACATGAAGAAGAAAGGGAGGTTGCAGAAGCAATTGGCGTCCAAGCTGAGGACGAAGTTGAGGTGGAAGAGGCTTGCACCGGCTATGAGTTACTTGTGATATCTCCACCGAATTTCGAGGAACTACTTAGCAAGGATCCATTTGTAGTGTCTCTTTGCCATACCAAGGCCACGTCGACATCGGTCCCTCTTGGTGGACGCGATGGTGGTCAATCGATGCTGTCATATCTGGTTTGGGGCAATGAGACGAGAGAAGAGAAGAAGAGGTCTCGAGGGTGGAGGCTTCATCCGCATCAAGTGCACGAGCTTCCATCACCTGTCATACCACATGCTCGTGACTTGAGAATCCACCTCATTGACGAGAACCTCAACTTCAAGGAGGTGTTTGGGGTGGACCGAAACTTAGGAACTATCGTCCGGCTCACGACGTGAAAGAAGCGCTTGTTGGGAGGCAACCCAACTAGTCAGTTTGCATTTCTTTCTCTTTTTCTCCTCGGTTGAGTCGGTTTTGTTATTTGATTTTAGAGTCAATAACTCAACCTTTGTGAGATTTTGTGTGGTGTTTGTGTTTCGACTACTCTCTCCTCCTGGAATGCACCGCCTGCCCCGTCCACCATCATTCACCATTGATCTGGTAACTTCGTTCTACCCTCCTTATCTTTCCTCCATTGAGGACAATGTCGTGCTTAAGTGTGGGGGGATGTTCGATTATGAATGCGTGTGAATGTTTGGCTGTTTGTGTGCTTGGAGCCTAGTCCACTGTCCAAATTTCGATTTGAGGGCTCCAAGTACGTGTTCCTTGCAATTGCCTGCTCAGTATGCTTTGAATTGACAGTCTTTATAGTAATATGCAACCTAGGGAGGTAGTGCAGCACTATGGAGGATGTTGATGCATTTAAGAAGTCTCCTTTCTTCTTCATATTGTGTTGGTTGATTGTGTGAATTAGTGATCTTAGGACCCTTGAATTGTGTGGTGTTGTGGACTCTCTACCTGTCATGGACTCCTGTATCATGTTTTGAAATAAAAGGTGCTCGAAAATGTGCTTTAAAATAACGTCTCTCGTGCGAATAGGGCGAAAGTGTGTAAGGGGAGACGGGAATCGTTCCCAATTTCCACCTACTACCTCCAGCCCCCTTACATTCCTTTTCCCCGCACGAGGCTCGAGACATTCGCTCCCGGCATGGGCGGTAAGAGCCGGGTTCCCGCAAAACCTTTGCTAGGTGGGAGCCCTGTTTTCTGAAATCGGGTTGGAACCCTTGAAAAAAAAAAGAACAAAAGTAAAGAAAAAAAGGGGTTCCATCCGTTTTCAAAAAGAAAATAAGAGCACCTTGAAAAATGTGAGTCCATGATCTTTTGTTTTTGAGAGTCTCTTCGTCTACGATTCATTTGTCCTCTGATCACTATTTGTCATGATGTCGACTCGAGACTAGCGTTCTCGCCGAAGAAGCTATGAGATGACTTGTGCATCGGTTGACCTCGTAAGCTGCTAAATGATCTAGAAAATCCTCTATCAACTATCAAGGGTGCGTGTTGCTATAGAGTTCTGGAGAGCTGCATTGGTTTGAGTTAGTTTTGCTTGGGGACAAGCAAACGGTTAAGTGTGGGGGGATTTGATGACTCGATATTTGCACATGTTTTACACTTTGTTTCTTGATCGTTTGAGCTTTAATTATCACTTATTTGGCCTATTTTACGCTAGGTTGTGTTCCTTTGTCACATTTCAGGTCCTAGCACATAAAGTGAAGCATAGGCGCAAATTTCAAGTCAATCAGAGATCAATTGGAGATTCGGGAGAAGAAACTCGGGCATGACCTGAAGAAGAATAGATTTCTACCTCACTTTATGGACAAAGAATCATACAATCTTGTCATGAAAAGAAATAGGACGAGACTACGAGCGTCTGGGATCAAACGGTGACTGATTAGGAGTTCGGACGAGGGAGAAACGAAGCATTGAATATAGGGGAACAGGTTCGGCAGTAAAAACACGGGCGCGCCTAACTCAAAACACGGCCGTGCCCATATTTAGGCACGACCGTGTTTTGGCCGACGCGCGCGGGCTTGTTTTTAACACGGGGCAAAACACGGGCGGGCAAAAGCAAAACACGGACGTGCCCTCGACCGTGTTTTGCCCAGAATCGGGTTTTTTAACCCAAATTCGAGCCAAAGGAGAGGGAGAGCTGGGTTTTGGATCCCAAACACCCAAGGGACGAACCAAAGAGAGAGAGGGCGATTTAAGGGCATTCTTGGAGTGGAATTGGAGGATTTCTTCGCCTTGGAAGCTCGAGGAACATGCCCGGACTTGAAGACTGATCATCTGAAGATTCTTACTGCAGTCTCTCTCTTCTCTATGGAGTAACTTCCCTTCACTTAGGTTTTGAGGAACCCTAGCTATGTTTGTTTGATTGGATGATTGTATGAGTACTCCTGCTTGATAATCTTGAGTTCATATTCAATCTATGCACGTTTCATGATTCAATTATGCTTTAGTCGAGATTATTGATTCTACTTTGATCCTATGAGAGCGAATACCTGATTAGGTCAATAGAGCACCATAGATTGATAGTATTGGATCGGTTTCTTTAGTCGAGGGTTGATTCAATGCTTTCTATAAATTGAGAACCTCATTCGATAGAGGTAATCTAGTTCAGAACGCCTTGATCGGTTGTTCTAGAGAAGGATACGTCCCTCTAGGCAATTGACTCAAGAGGGCCTTGTTCCTTTAGTCGAGACTCAAGGTCAAGTTAAGGATTCTCCGCATTGTGAATGAAAGTGAAACAGCTAAAAGATCATTAATCATTAATCTGGCTAGTAGCTAGGGGGAATCATACCTAAGTGAGTTCCCAACCTGTAATTAGATTAACTTTAACTGTAGTTTGTTAGAGTAGTTTTAATTCTTCCATCTTAATCTGGTTTGCTAGATAATGAACTGAAGCTGAGTAATAGTAACTCTAGAGACCCGTGGATTCGATATTTATTACTTGAGCCACTATACTGCAGTCCCTTTCATTGGTTACACTTGGCCATTGTTAGGAGTTGTGCCATAGCGAGTCAGATAGCCTAGATCAAGTTGACTATATATGGGTTTAAGGGAGGCGTACTCGGAGGCGTGTTGATAACCACTAAAGTCCACAGAAAAGAGCTCACTCACCACGTTCGATTAATCCTACTTGACAACCGTAGCTAGGAGGATTCAACCCTAGGGAATCGTCTTACCTCTAGCGTTCTCCCAACCACTTGATTGGTTGTCTATTTTGCCTTAGGAGTAGGTCAAATTAGTTCAAACACCTCACCAATTTTCCAACCCGATTAGATAGTAGGTCGGAGCGAAGTAATATAAAATTAGGGGTCCCTTGGAATACTACTGAGCCACTTTACTACAACCCTAGCTAGGTTATACTTGGCTTCGTTATGAAGGGGCAGAAAGTGTGCATCGACTTATTATTATTAATTAATATTATTAAACCGTAAGTAAACCTTAATTATGTTAACGGTTCCTTACGATTTTATCTCCTTTTTCACTATTCATTGAAGGAATCTATATACTACAGCCGGTTTCATTGTTATAATCCCATAAATACCCACCCTAAGTACCGCATGGAGGCTGGCTGAGCTCCCCTAATTTTGTTTCCTTTCTATAAATGGACCATTTTTATATAGTTTGATTTTTTTTATGTGAATCCATGACAATTATTTATTACTTTTATTTTATAATGAAGTTTTCCATTTAAATAAATTAGTTCATCATTAGTAATGTCACTTTATAACTTATGTAAAAGATAATGAAATGAAAGATATTGTTTACGTAATAGTTAAATTAGTCATGTTGCTTAAGATTTTTCGTAATTATCCAACACTTTATGTAAAATTCGCGTAATGTCATTTTTCTATTTTTACATAAGATGAAAATACAGAACATAAAGATAAACAACATTTAATTCTTAAGCAAAAATTAGATCGGACATGTAAGATAATTTGCAATTAATAAGTAAAAGGGTTGTTCAGTGTTTTAGCAAAAGCTTAATTCCGGGTTCATATCGATTGGTTGAAAGGCATCAAAGAAATTATTTGTTACGATTATTTTATAATAAATTTTTCCATTTAAATAAATTAGTTCATCATTAAGTAATGTCATTTTATAACCTGGGTCAATGATAATGAAATGAAAGGTATTGTTTACGTAATAGTTAAATTAGTCATGTTACTTAAGATTTTTCGTAATTATCCAATACTTTACGTAAAATTCACGTAATGTCATTTTACTACTTTCACGTAAAGATGAAAATACAGTACATAAAGATAAACAATAGTTAATTCTTAAGCAACAATTAAATCAGACATGTTAGATAATATGTAATAAGTAAAAGGGTTGTTCACTGTTTTAGCAAAAGTTGCACTCCGCGTTCGTATTGATTGGTTGAAAGGCATCAAAGAAAATGTTCTTATAGGTGATATAATAACTGTTGGTACCGGATGCAAAGGATTAGCGCACTGCTCAAAACGACATTAGAGTATTCCTTTGAAAAGCAGAAAGGAAAATCTAATAGTACTCCGCAGTCGTATCGATTAGTTGAAAGGCCTCAAAGAAAATGTTGTTATAGGTGGTATAATACCTGTTGGTACCGGATGCGAAGGATTAGTGCACTGCTCAAAACAACATATGAGTATTCCTTTGAAAAGCATAAAGGAAAACCTATTCGAGGAAGAAATGAAAAATATTTTCTTACGCCACAGAGATTTATTCGATTCAAAAAATTGCGCTAAGTATAGCTTAGGTAACATGATCAATCCTCCAATACATGTGATCCACAATTTAGAAGTTGCATCTTGATTTGCCACAATGTGAAAGAATCTATTTAACTGATATTCTCAACAACAATTGTTCGTAAATGACATTGCTGCAAATTACTACTAGACCTTGGAATTACTATTGACCAGGTTGATTGTTTTGTGTTTTAGGTATGGGTCAGATGGAAAACATACCGGATTTTTAACAAAGTTCACATAGAGTGTTTTACAAAATCTACACCAACTTAAATTTTGCCCATGCCAAACTCTTTTTTTCATCATAAACTCTCTTTTATCCGTTAATCAACTATTTCCATCTCATGAGTTTGCATTACTCAAAAGTTTTGTAGGGTAAGTTAACTATTCCGTAATAGTCTAATTGAATGATACTTCCATAACTTAATTTTTTTATTAGAACACACATAACGGAAGATTTACTAATGTAAATAATATGAATATATCGCGTATAACTTACATATGAATAGTTATTCTTTATGTATCTATTAAAAATGCATTAAATAAGTATCACGTAATGACTACTACACTACACAAACATTATGAAAGGATATTAATTTATTATGTATCAATTGAATAAACATAATACGTAAGTCTTCCATAATATAAGTTTCAATGGAAACCCTACATTGTAATCAATGTTGATCATCTCATCAATTTACATTACACAATTTTTTTTTGAAGGTGAGTTAGTTTTACATAACACTTTAATCAAATGGGATACTTTTCGTAACTTAGTTCATTTATTATAAAAACAAATTATATTTATTATGTAAAATATTTATTATCTCATCAATTTGCATTATGGAAGGGTTTTGTAAAACAAATTAATTTTATAATAGTTCAACCAAGAGTGAGATTTTTTCGGAACTTGATTTTGTTATTGTATCACATTTAAAGAAAATCAATGTAACAACATTTTAGAACAATTATGCAAATAAAAATTACATTAGGTAAAACTTAAAAGAATTTTTATTTCTTACGTATCAGTTAAGCAAACGTTAATCTTCCGTAATAATTAAGATACTACAAAACTTTGAAAAGTATCTTACCCAAACAATTTTGTGAATTATCCAATTTTCAAGTAAATAATTAAATGTGTATATCATATTTTAAATATAATTAGTTTACTAGCGCAACGAAGCACGGGCCGAAAAACTATTATAAATTTAAAGCTCGATCGCGCAATAGCATCTGATCAAGTTTTTGACTCTGTTGCCGGGGAATATTAAGTTATTAGGAACAGTCGAGAACTACTGGTTAATCATTTGTTGTGTGCCAAGTTTGGCGTTGTTTTTGTTTTGTATTTGTGTAGCATCAAATCTTTGGTGCCTTTTTCTTGTGTTTAGTGCTTGTGATGTCGTATTTTCTTTCTCGTATTTTTCTCTCTTTTGTTATCTTCCCTTTAGTTATCTTGTGTTAAGTGTTTGTTCGCTTTTTCTTTTCTTTTCTTTTCTCTTTTACACTTGTGCTTTCATAGGTTGTTTTTGTTTTTGTGGATATAGATAGTGTTTAGGTGTAGCTATGGATCCATATTGGTGGAATGAGGAGTGGGGAGATCACCAACCGCATAATTGGTGTTATCTTGAAGCTTCTAGTAGTGGTTCTAGCCAATGATTCGAGTGTGAAGAACCAACCCCTTTCTATAATTATCAAGCATACTTCCCCGACTATCAAGCTTCATCATTATATCAAGAAGAATTCCTTCCACAAATGGAGCCAAAAAGCCGATTGGAGCTTTTTGGTGGAGCGGTATGTCCGGATACCAAAGTGTGCTCCGATGTGGAATCCTCAACTACCACTCCTATCAACTCATCTCTTCTACGGACATCGTAGGAGATCCTCCGAAAAACAGAAAAACAAGGAGAGGTTGTTGAGCAAGTATGTGCACGACTTGCTCACAACCGAGCTTTACCTGTCAAAGGGGAAAAGAAGGTCGAAGAGGAAAAATTGGAGACTAATGGGACATTCTCCATTGGAGGAAATTCCAACCCTTACCATCCTCAGCTAGATCCACAAACTAGGACGCTACACACAACTATGCCAATCGATAGAAGAAACAACACGCAAAGCTGCCTGGTACCAAAGAGAGCAAGAACCAGTCCCTCAAAGCACACCAACCCCACTTAGACCAACCTTTTGATTGCCAAACTGTTAGTTACAATGACTCCAAAAGGCCTGACCTCAATCCAAAACACACCACCGTCCCAAGCTCATCGAGAGGAAAGAGAGAATTAAAATCACCACGCCAGCTGCAAGCAAAACAAGATAACGATGAACTGCTCAAAACATAGCAAAACATAAGCTCTCATCCATGAATTCCATCTTCCAACTCACACCTTGATCTCTCTGAACTTTCTCATGTGCAGCTAACCATTTTAACGAGTTCGTTGCTGCTCTTCTAACCACAATTAGCCGACAGAACCTTATCTTCGAACATTCGTTGGTTCCTCTCCAACAAAACACTAAAAAACATGGAGAATACAATCTCTGAACCAGATTTTAATGTTTCCCGTCTTAGGACGAGTCCAATGTTTAATAATCGAGGCTATGCCCCCAGCTTGACCGGACATACCAGGTCTATTGCGATAAATATACCTCCACACTTCTTTCACAAAATTACACTCAACAAGCATATGAAAGATGGACTCTTCACTATGAAAGCAAAGGCAACACCTTGTTCACCAAAGTTCAGCCTCTCCTCATCAGGTTATCCAACATGAAGATCCTGTTATGATAAACTAACCACATATAGAAAGAAACTTTGCCAGGAATAACGGTCTTCTAGATTTGCTTAGCCGGGAAATCTTGTGCATCCTTCAACGAATTCCTGTACATAGAGCTCACTGAAAACATGGCATTTGAATCAGGATTCCATACAATTCGACAAGGACCAAACGGATTTTTAGAAAACTCAATAGACTCAAGAAAATTAAGCAACTAGATTATCTCCCTCTCAACACCTCCCCTCAAATATTAATAGACCAACTCATCAAATAACCTTTGAGGGAAGCCACGTCGGAGAGTTTAGCTTCAGGGGCAGCAACGAAGGAGATGCGAGGAAACGAGACAGACAAAACAGTCTCGGGGGTCCAACAATCATTCCAGAAAAGAAATCAGAGTACCATTACCTAGATCTAGGCTAGCAAACTTCCAAAACATATCATATTCTTTAGTAATATTTTCCTAAACTGACTAAGAAAATCCGCTTCTCGCACAAGTAGTCTGCCAAACAGAAGCCAAATTATGATACTTAATGTCTATTAATTTTCACCACCAACTGTCTTTTTCCGCCGCAAACCTTCACAACCATTTTAATAACATTGCGTCATTGAAAGCTTTAAGATCATGTATACCCAAACCCCCTTTGTTCTTCTCAGTTTTACATAAATTCCAATCCACAAGAGCTATCCTATTTGTGTCACCCACCCCATTCCACAAGAACTTCCTCTGAAATCTCTCCAGCTCCTTGATAACTGAAGCCGACGCCTTGAAAAGGGAAAAGAGGTAAGTGGTCATGTTAGAAAGAACAGTTTTGCAAAGAACTTCTTACATTTTAATAGGGCAGATGATACAACTAAAGTCACAGAAAAGTGCATCCATCCCCATACTTCATCCACCCAAAAAAATATATTAATTTAAAGGGTAATGACTATTTTTTATCCAAACCTTTTGTAGATTCTTTTATATTATTCAAACCTATTAAAATGCTCTTAATTAGCTAAGTCTTTCGTAATGCATCAAAATATTAGCCATTTTTACGTTATCGTTAATAATTTTGTAACTTTTTTCTTAGTTACAATACTAAAATTTTGGAATGTTGACCTTCATGTGTCTCTTCCAAGTCAGTATCATGTTGCCAAGTCAATATTACTAACAAAATTGCTAATTTGCAAGTTAACATTTGGCTAATTCTTAGATTTTGATAGGTTTGGCTAATAAAAAAGAATATGAAAAAGGTTTGGCTAGTAAATAGTCATTACTCTAATTTTAATTAGATTTTGTTCTCGAAAGTTTTTTCAAAAAATATTTTTTTTATAAATCACCATTGGATCCAAAAATGATCATTCCAATTCCAATGATAAGTTTAAATTGATGGATCTTGCCCATCTTCGTGCAGAGGTATAACCGTTCGTTAAAAGATATTATCAAACTGCCCTAGAGATGTCTGAATCTCATAAACAAAGTGTAGGAAGCGAAGTTGAAAACCTTATCTATTAACGATTATATTCTATTGCAAAAGAAAGAAAATTAAAACAAAAGGTTTATGAATATTCTTATTTTAAACTTCAACAAGAACGATGGTTCATTAAATGATGCACCCAACTAGGAGAATGGCTAATTCCAGTACTAGTCACTTACGGAATGATCTTCGAAAATATATGGGTTTGTGGAAGAAGCCTTGATTGAAGTAGATGATCGAACCTTTAATAAACTTGTTATCGCTAAGAGGCATGGATTTAAGAAAATTATCCACAAAATACTAAGGAAGATTTCCTTCCTAGGGGTAATCCCTTGAGACCGGTCATAAGTTCAGGTGCTTTTCTTAATATTGATTGTGAAAGCATGTATCTGAAAGGATATACGAGTGGATTAAAATGCTTAGAATAAAATCTTGAAACTTTGCATCATATCTATGAGTTCTTTCAAACTACCATGGTAGGTAATGCTATGATCGTTCAGAGATTCAGAGGGTGCGAAGATGGAAGCTAAGGTGGATGTCTCCCACTGGGCATAAGTGGAGCCTTTGCTGCCATTTTTCAAGCAAATTTGATACTGGCTAGGACTGAAAATGAGCCAAGTCAAGGCGGATTTTGGTCTAGTTTAAGCTCAGCTTGTTAATAGATAAGTCGAGAAGCCAATGAAAAGCCAGAAGCCAATGAAAAGCTATTAATTGATTCCCTTATAAGTTGCTAGTTGAGATGGATCGCTGGTCAAATTGTCAGCCACCTCGTAGCTCA